TCAGGAAGAGAGCAATTTTAGTTTAGTTTTGAGAGGTTTAGGGTCTGGTTTTTTTTTTGTTTACTAGATGGTCAGTTTAGGTCATTGAGTCGTGGGGTATGGTGTCCGGAAGGCTCCAGCAGGTGGCGTTGAATGGTGAGGGAGGGGGGTCTCGATCGAACCAGAGAAGAGAGTAGAAGAGAAACGGCTGAGGGGAGAGGGTTGGTTTAATGCAAATGAAATTAGGGTTTATTTTGGCCTTAGAAATTAAATATATGGGATGTTCAAAACGGCGGTGTTTCGTAAGTTAAGGAATTCATCGAATGATCCTTTAGGTTTCAAAAGCTCATATTTTGGTCCCTAAATTAATTTCTGAATTTGTTGTTTATAGCTCTTAAGTTGATGCATGTTCCATTATAGTCCTAGATTTGGTTAATTTTAATTCATACTTATTTATACACCGAACATGCAATTTCGGAAACTTTGTATTTTAACCCTATGTATGCGTATGATTTATTCTCATCTGTGAGGCTCATAATGTTATTTTGTTACATTTTAATCCTTTTTTAATGGACAAATTACAATCTTGGTGCTTGAAATATTATTTCTTTTGTGTCATGACTCAATGTTTGTACAGTTTGTTACTTTAGCATCAGATTTACATTCCCACTTTAATTTGGTCACATGTCTCTAAGTTCTTTTAATTTTTTTTTATCATTTTTACAATAGTATGTTGTTTACGTTATTTAGGTTTTAACTTTAAATTAGTTTTCTTTACGTTTTAGTTCATGCTTAAATTTTTATGCCTATGTATGTATAGTTATTTAGGGTTCATTTCGAATGCATGCTTCATATGGTTGAATGATGATGATATGTAGGCATGTACACATAGATTGTTCATTAATTAGATAATCATTATATATATATATATATATTTGTATAATTAATTTTGGCATGACATCCACTTTTTGTACAATTTGTATGATGCCCTCACGTGCATAATTCGACCTATTACATAATCGGACTAAGGGTAATACCCTTTTAATTTAAAATTGTCTTGAGCGGCTTGTCTTAACTGATTAGAGAGCCGTTTTGACTATTTTAAATTAAAAGCGTATCCCGGAAGTGAAACAAAAAAATTGATTCGTCACTTAAAATTTGGGAATGAAAGAAAAGGAAATGTTCGTTTATTTAAATTTATCGAGAAAATGTTGTTATAGCTTTTAAGATCTAGTCTCGATATTTGTAAATAATCGAACATTCTTTATCTTTCTAAAACGACTTGGTAATTTTAATTTAATTTATTTGAGTGCTTTTGAATATTGTAAAATTCATATTTGTTGTTTTATGGGATTAAAAATCAAATTAAATTTGAATTTGTAAAGTTCATTGCAAAGATGTTAATTAATCGGCTAGGTACCGATTTAGGCATTGTGGGGGCGCTAATCCTTCCCCGCACGTAACCGACTCACGAACTCGGATTTTGGTAACGCGGACCTTAATTTGTTGTTTTAATTAAAATTAATTTTTATTTAAAATAACAAACAGTTTTGGGTGCCCAATCACACCCTAACCAAAGATTGGTGGCGACTCTTTGAATCGTATTTTTTCGATCATAAAGGAAATCCGAATTTTTTCGAAACGAAAGGTTTTTAAATCGTATTTGTTTTTAAATTAAAAATCAATTGAAAGAGATAATTCAAAAATTGATGTGGTTTTCAAAATCTCACCTTTTCACTTTAAAGAGAAAAATCGTTTCAACAGATTTCCCACTTCCTTGTTGAGTGGAAGAGAACAAGGGGGACTCTCGCGCACCGCCGTCGCTGCCGCCTCGGGTCGTGGTCGTGGTCGTGGTAATACGTGTCTTCGACACGTCCGCGCGGATACTATTTTTTTAGAGAAAATTCTTAACGAACTTGGAAAATCGCAACGCGAACTTCGACTACCGCAACGAATTTGAAAAATCGCAACGTGAACTTGGACTATCGCAACGAATTTGGAAAATCGCAACGCGAACTTCGACTATCGCAACGCGAACTTGGACTATCACAACGAATTTAGACTAACGTAAATTTGGAAAATCACAACGAATTTGGAAAATCGCAACGCGAACTTGGACTATCGCAAAATCGCGTTGCGAATTTGGAAACTGAGTTGAAAAATTAGAGTTCGCGTTGCGAATTTAAGATCGCATTGCAATTTTGTTGGTCATTTTGGCAAATCCAAAAAAGTTGGTTAAAATCGTATATTATAAGGTATTTTCGGTCACTGAGATTATTTTTTTCTTAATTTTATTCCTCCTAAAAAACACAAACTTAAAAGCTAATAAATATTAATCATGTTGAACAAATGACTGTCACCTGAAATTCAATTTTATTTATTTATTTATTGTATTCATTTCAAAATTTTATTTTTACTTCTTTCATATAAAAATTGTATATTATTAATATATATATATATATATATATATATATATATATATATATATATTATTAAATTAATAATAGTTTCACTTTTAAAGCAATATATATAATATAAATAAGATTTCTTGTGTCAATATATATAAATAATAAATTGATCCAGAGGTTACTTCTACTAAATCTAGACTCAAATCTTATTATTCTTAACTTTTAATTTTTTTACTTCTAATTTTTAAATCAATCTGATGATATTATTATCATTTGATTGATGGGAATTAATTTAATAAAAAATAATTAAATTAAACTTATTTTAATAAAAAAATTACTAACACGATGTATGGGCCTATAAAATGTCAGAATGTGTATTATTTTTATTGATATTGCATAACATCATATCATTAAGAAGTGTTGATTATTGGTTAATTAATAATTTCTTTTAAAAAAATTATTTTAATCTAAAATAAAACATTAAGAGATCAAACCCTTAAAAATATAAATAGAGAAATATTATAAAGTATTATTTAGTATTATGACGAGAAATAAATGTGAGTAAATGAATTGAGGTTACTACATACAAACTCGCCTATATTAAGGACCTGCGATGCGTACATGAACCTTGAGGATAAAAGACAGTAGAGAAAACAATCTGTAGCATCAATTACGAGAGTATTGTGCTCGTCACGGGGGACTGGGAAATGTTGGGCTTAGTGCCCATAGTGAGTATCGTAAATGGGACGAGACAAATTATGAATTATTTGAGTTTGACCTGATTCAAGTTCGATAAGTATTCGATTTGAATAGACTTAATTCGAGTTTAAGTCCAATTCGAGTTCCTAACAAGTGAAAACGAACTATTCGATACTAGATTCAAAAAAATTAGCGAGTAGCTTAAAAAATAATATATTATAATTTTATTTAAAAAAATTAAATTATTAATAATATTAACATTTATGTATTGATTTTTAAAGAATATAATATAATATTTTATTGTATTTAAGGTTTATGTTTGAGTTATAACTTGAGCTTCAGTCAAATTAAATTCAAGTTTTTTTAGTTATTATTATTATTTCAAGCTTTTTGTGCTTTTTTGAGTTTTAATTTATGGTTTAGGGTTCGATTCACGCTTAAAAATTTTAGACTCGCAAGCTTTGAAGCTGAGTCGAGCTCCATTTTAATATTTTCGAGTAGTGTCAAATTTAGCAATATTAGAGCTTGACTCGACTCGTTTACTGTCCATGCACCTAAAAGTGCTCCGTCAGAAACATTAAGCACACATTTTTAATGAAAAATTCTTTAGGCGCCAAATCATATTTCGAAGTATAGTTTAGTTAATTATTTTTATATTAAAAAATTTATTATAATTAAAATTTTTAATTTAAAAATTAATTAAATAAAAGATTTCTACTATTTTTTATATTTAAATATCAATAATAAATTATTCTTTAATAGAAAACAATTTAGGTATAACCATAAATAACACATGGACATAAAACAGTTTCTTAATACAAATAATAAATAAAGTTAATAATAAGGATAAAGTTATAAAATGGTCGCTCAATTATATAATATTATTTTGTTGAGTCTTTTAATTATTAAAAGTTATAAAATAGTCACTCTGCTATTCATATGTTCTAAATTCATCTTTTTCGTTAAAAAATAAACTACTGCCTGAGTTGGACATTAACTTATTGACTGTGATATGTTGAAATCTGACCTGAAAAATTGTTTGAGTTGTATTTTGTGGAGTAACTCCTTGTTTATATTATGTCGTCGAGCCAATGTTTGAAGCATTATAATGTCGAGCCATTGTTTCAAAATAATGACAGTGTCAGTAGATATCACTAAAATATGATTTTATCGTATCTTAGTCTTTATGTTAATGTTTAGCGCAGACGACTATCAATTTTTAATGGAAAAAACGAGTTTGGAACATATGAATAATCAAGTAACTATTTTTGTAACTTTTAATAGTTAGGAGATTCAACAAAATAATGTCCTATAATTAGGGTACTAATTAATAACTTTTATTATTCGAAGGATTCAATAAAGTATGGCCCTATAATCGGAGTCCATTTGTATGTTTACTGTAAAACTAAGGGTTAATTAAGCATTTAGTACCTAAGCTGTCAATTTCGATCCATTTCAGTATATTAGCTTTCAAATTTTTTTTAAAAAAAATCATGCCTAAAGTTTAGTGTTTTTTGTTTTAGTACCTATGTTCAAAATTTAACGTTAAGTTTTGAAAAATATTAAAAATTTAGGTATTAATAGACCAAAATTGATAGTTTAGGTACTAAACGCATTAAGTTTTTAATGGTGCAATATTAAAATGAAATAAAAATAAAATGTTAGGTATGATTTAAAAAAATTGAAAGTTTAGGTACTAAAATGTACTAAAACTTGATAGTTTAGTCACTAAATGTGTAGTTTACCCTAAAAATAATTAGGCATAACCATAAAGGGAGAGAAAACAAATTAGATTTGGGTTACTTCCTCTGCAGGGAGTTGGTGGAGCCTCACAGTTAACAGATATTTTGATCCTTTTTAAGACAGAACATAAACTGATCTGTCTCTCTTATCTCGTGTCACTCTGCTGACTGCGTCTCTCTCCATTACAGTATTGTAAAAGCTCTCCACCTCTCTGTATCTCTCTCACCTCCCCGTGTTTACCTCCATGGCTTCCTCCTTGTTAACTTCCTCAAAGTTATCGCCTTTCCTTATCCCCTCCCCAAAATCCACCATTTTCCTGCCTCCTTCAACCTCCCTCCGGTTCCCTCCTTCCAAGCCACCATCTTTTCGTCCTCTCCCTTCCAAATCGCTCCCCATTTCCTCTTCTTTAACCCCAAACCCCCTCTCCCTCCTCCTCCGCCCCCTCTACGTCCCCCACCGCATCCCCGACCCCAACTACGTCCGCGTCTTCGACACCACCCTCCGCGACGGCGAGCAATCCCCCGGCGCCACCTTGACTTCCAAGGAAAAGCTCGATATCGCTCGCCAACTAGCCAGGCTCGGCGTGGATATAATCGAGGCCGGATTTCCCGCCGCTTCCAAAGACGATTTCGAAGCCGTGAAGGCCATTGCTAGAGAGGTTGGGAACGCGGTGGATGGAAACGGGTATGTGCCTGTCATTTGTGGGCTTTCACGGTGTAATGAGAAGGATATTAAGGCGGCTTGGGATGCGGTTAAGTACGCCAAAAGGCCCAGGATTCATACGTTTATCGCCACCAGCGGGATCCATTTGGAATATAAGTTGAGGAAGAGTAAGGCGGAGGTTTTGGATATCGCTAGAAGTATGGTTCGGTTTGCTAGGAGTTTGGGTTGTAATGATATCGAGTTTAGCCCCGAGGACGCCGGCAGGTTTGAATCTTAAGCTTATGGGACCATATATATTGAAGAAATTTTTAATATTTTTAGAAGTGGTCCATGGCACGACAGGTCCTTTCTGTGTTCTGTCACTAACTGACTGTATTATGCTTATGACATGTATGTAAAAGGGTTGTTCAATGGATAAGGTTATTTCCATATGTTTGTATTAACAAATGGAATCACAGAGAGGACTGCCATTAGCAGTTGAAGTTCAAATATAGATAAAGATAAATCTATGCGTGTTTTTAATTGAAGCCTAATTTGGTGAAAGATATGTGCTTGATCATAATAATTGCTGCAATGAGGGTGCATGTCATTGTATCAACTAGATTCTAAGACATTTGTGTATTTCATGTTTTAGTCATTTTTTCTGCATTCTGTTATCGGGTGTTTTGCAGTAGATTTCTGCTTCTTCTCTTGCTTACTTGATATTATTGTTTCTTGTGATCCTACCAGATCTGACAGAGAGTTTTTGTATGAGATTTTGGGTGAAGTGATCAAGGCCGGAGCGACGACTCTAAACATACCCGATACTGTCGGCATAACCATGCCTAGAGAGTTTGGTCAGTTAATTGCTGATATAAAAGCCAACACCCCTGGAATCGAGAACATTGTCATTTCAACACACTGCCAAAATGATCTCGGGCTTTCTACTGCAAACACGATAGCGGTATGGTGTAACTTTTTTCTTGTTGTTAATAGATGCACGGTGAGGTATACTTGGGTTGTGTTTACATGTTAGCTAGTATGAATTCAGGGAGCTTGTGCAGGTGCAAGGCAAGTGGAAGTAACAATCAATGGCATTGGAGAGAGAGCCGGAAATGCTTCATTGGAGGAGGTGGGATTTCGCTCTGCGCAATATTATATCGATTGTGCATTTCTGGTTTCATTCACACAGAAGTATGTGGGAAAAAGCCTGGTTTTCTTTAGCGCTATATGGTGACGCAGCTGCTTGAACCGAGTCCTCTGGGGAGAACGACATTCCCTTTTACTACTGAGGTCACTCAATGGGTTTGAAGATCACCTATGTTTTGTTGTATTGTTTTGATTATTACATTTGTTCGTCCAGGTTGTCATGGCGATAAAATGTCGCGGTGAGCATGTATTAGGAGGTCTTTATACCGGAATCAATACTCAGCACATTGTGATGACAAGCAAAATGGTATTCATTTGTGAACTTCAGTTACAATTCATCGACCTTACTTTCGACTAAATTAGCTCCGGTAGTTATTATTGACTTATTGTTGCTTAGGTAGAGGAGTACACGGGGTTACATGTACAGCCTCATAAGGCTATTGTTGGAGCCAATGCTTTTGCTCATGAAAGCGGTATCCACCAGGTTAGTTTTTTCGCATATTTGACTGCAAATATGTTGTGAACCTCTGAATGTTTTCTGTCCATCGGTGAAGTTTTTCTTTACGGCTGATCTTGTTGATTGATTTGCTAGTGTTTTTACCATTGTAGTTGAAAATTAATAGAATGCAATGACTCTTGTTATGTTTTTCTTTTGCTAGTTTTGTCGCTGCAATATGACTTTGTTGTTTTATCTTAAGAAAACTAAACTTATTATCCTTTTTTGCCTTCCATTAATAGTTTACATGAAATTGTTGACAGTTAGTGATGGTGTAGTTAAGATCTAACTCAATCAAACTCACTTTTAACCCCAAACTAAGTGTGCCCGGTTATAAGAATCTGTTTTTGTCATTCTGTTTGGTGAAGGTCACTCCTGTGAAAGATCTAAAGAAGGCAAGGCAACAAATTCGATTCTTTGTTTTGCTGCATGTTTATATATATGTGTGTGTGTGTGTGTGCTTACAAAAATTTAAAAGCAATTCTGCTTGGTAGGATGGAATGCTCAAGCACAAAGGTACTTATGAAATTATTTCTCCTGAAGATATCGGTCTTGAACGATCCAACGAAGCTGGTATTGTCCTTGGAAAACTTAGGTAGGCGTTTCAGCTGTCAAGAACTTTCCACCATTTTTGTGGTGATTTTTTTCCTTTTGATATGTGCTAGATAGTGTATGAAGTGATGTAGATGGATTCCATCTTTTGTTATTTTGCTACAACTTAAATCTATGCAGTCATGAAATTTATCACGTTCATCTTGTTGGTGTTTTCCCTTTCACTTTTTATTGTTACGGTTTCATTTGCTACTAAACTTATGATTCCTCTCTTAATTCTTGTTTCTTTCGCAATTCGTCGGTCAAGTGGACGTCATGCTTTGAGAGACCGATTGAAAGAGGTATGTATTTGGCTTTTGTAAAATTTGATGTGATTGCCTCTCTTTGCTTCATCTAAGTGCCTAGTTCTTGCTGTTTATCTCAGCTTGGGTATGAGCTTGACGATGAACAGCTCATCAACATATTCTGGCTCTTCAAAGCAGTAGCTGAACAAAAGAAGGTGAACAAAATTCTTTACTGATTTCTGTTGTTTGTTTATGATGATGATGTGTTTTCACTCGCTGGTGTTACAGAGAGTCACCGATGCTGATCTAATAGCGTTGGTTTCAGACGAAGTTTTTCAACCGGAAGTTGTTTGGAAGCTTGATGATCTGCAGGTAACTAGAGATAGTTTTGAACCATAGTTACTGGAATGTGCGACAGATATTTCACGGTATCGTGGGTGTACACTTCATTAGTTTGTTATTTCGGATTGCGATATTATGTAGAACATTATTGTGGTTGTGTTGCTTTAAACTATATGTCTTGTGCCTTTGCTTTAATTTGAATATGTAGATATAAGTTTATGTATGCATAATCCATAAATCATTAACAGACATGATTATAAGAGAGAGCATTATATATAAATGGAAAATATCAAATGCAGGTTACTTGTGGAACTCTTGGCCTTTCTACTGCCACTGTTCAACTCATCGATGCTTCCGGGGCGGAGCATGTTGCGTGCTCGGTTGGAACTGGTCCGGTGGATTCAGCTTATAAAGCCATTGATCTCATTACAAAGGTTTGATACCGGAGATTTTAAGTTTTCCTTCGTTTGCTAAGAATTTTTAGCAATCCTTCAACGTTTATTCCTTCATTTTGCAGGAACCAGTTACACTTCTCGAGTACTCCATGAATGCTGTTACAGAAGGCATTGATGCTATAGCCACCACTCGTGTTCTAATCCGTGCCGAAAAAAGTCACGTGTCAACTCATGCTTTGACTGGTGAAGCCGTCCATCGAACATTTAGGTATGCTTTCTCACTCACTTTTCCATTCAATATTTTTACCACTCACTCACCCGAAATTCATTGTATAAGATCGATCTCCTTTTGTGCCAGTGGAACAGGGGCAGGAATGGATGTCGTCGTTTCCAGTGTAAAGGCTTATATCGGCGCATTAAATAAGATGTTGGCTTTCAAGGAACAATATCAGACAAAAGCTCCGGCAGGGAAAACTCCAGTTTCTGCATAGGTCGCGCTTATCGTTGCCGCCGTGATCCCCGTAGAGGCATACTTCAGATCGGTTTTGTGACTACATTTGCTCCTGTTAGTGACACAGTGCTTTGAATGTGGTTTTGTTGTACAAGTTTCGTAGACAGAAATGTTGATAAGTGTAAGATCAACTATTTTTTTTTTGGTTATTTCTTGTGAACTTTCAGTTTGTATTAAGAAATGGTTGCTATGTTTATAAATGTTAGTTTTTTTTTTTACAATTTATAAATACTAGCTTTAATTTAACTCGTCTTGCAAAGTAGAGAAAATGGAGGAAAGAATAGGATTCGAAACGACGTCGTTTTGATGTATATTTGAATTTTTCAAAAGTCTTGTCATAACACAATTAAAAAGTTAACGACAGAGTAAGTAAAATGATTTAATTTGTAAATTTAATGTACAAATTAGGAAAATTGAAAGTACAATGAAAAAATAAGAGAGAAAAATTCAAAGAGGAATAATGTAATTTCGTGGAGAAACAATGTAATTTACCTGTATTTCAAATAATCAAAGTAACAATAGAATTATTAAAAAATATATATAATTATTATTAACACTTTGACAATTATCGCTCAAATACATCTATAGATATTGGTGCTCGAGTAGAAAATCTCTTAGGATAACATTCATCCTTTTAGCCGTTAACTTGATTTTGTGTTATTCATGTCATTTTATAAAGCTATGAAATATATAGCAAGAATAATATAACTACAGAAGAACATTATGTGGGAGGGAAGAATAATCTTTTATCGTTTGTTTTTTCTTATTTTTTGTAAGTTCGAATATGAATCTCAAAAGTCACTATAAAATGAATATGGAAGGTGAAGATGAAATATAAGAGTTAAAGGAAATGAATATAGACCTCCATTTAATGAATTGACTTGTAACATTCTTCAAGTGTCCATCAATAGAATATTTAACTCGTTAAAATCTTATTAAAAATTTTTAGTGGAATAAATTTAGTGAATAATATGAGTATGTTAAAATTTAATATGCATAGACATAACATATTATCTTATTAAAAATTTTATCACAAAAATTAAATAAGACAAAAACTCGATTAAAAAAGAGAATACAATACGTATTTATTCTTCTCACAATAACGTCACGTATAATATGTGAATTTTCGTAATCCGATCTTAAATACTTTTGGACCAACTAAAATATAATACTTCTAGACCCAAAGATTATCCTCTCCTTGAAAGCAAAATTTATATATCTTTATTGACATCGCATAATCTTACACTGATTTGGGCACACGAAGAATACGTTAAATTCATATTAAATTTCTTCAAAATCCTTTTTATATGTATTCACTTGTCGATAAAATTTGGTATTTATGTACTGAGTCTACAAGTTGAATTCTAACCTATAACATGCACTGATCTTGATATATAAAAACACGTGGACACATCAAATTAATTTTATTATTTTTCTTTAAATTATTATGCACATAGTTAATTATATCTTATACAGCGAGAAGAATTTTGAAGATCGGACCAATGGAAACATAATAATTTTTTTTATCTAAAATAGTCCATATATATTTTTAATATAAAAATATAATAACAATTATATATATATGGATTAAATCAAGGAAAAAGTATATTAATTGGACTAATATAATTTTCTTAATATAATTCATACATATTTTTAATTTAGGGTAAACTAACTATTGGGTCACCCCACGTATTATTTAATTTATATTTTGGCCACTTAACTATTATTTTTTTCAAAAACATAATCGATCTTACGATTTAGTTCTATTTTGACCACCTACTATTAAAAAATTAAGAATGATGTTAATATGACATCTTTTTAATTATTCTTCAATCATGACGTGATATTATCTTATAATGTTACGTCAACTCCACCTCTAATTTTTTAAAGATGAGTGGCCAAAACACAAACAAAATAAAACATAAAGTATGATTCAAAATAAATAATAATTGGGTGGTCAATACAGAAACTAAATAACAAATGGATGACTGAATAAAGTTACAAAAAATCTCATTAAATTGTCTATAAATAATCTTTTGATCATTGACCTTTTAAAAGTAACAACATGAGTATTGAACTATTTAATTTTATTGCAAATAGGCACCACACGATTAAATACCGTAAAGAGAATGATATGTTTTTTTAATTAAGTTAAGTTGATTATAAAGTATTATTTGTTCTAAACACTCTTAACCATGTGAAAATGGACGCTCAATCACCCTGCTACAATCGCTGGTGCTTGAACCTGTGACATTTAAGAACAACAATGATTCATTTAATCATTGAAGTAAGTTGATTCATGCTAAAAAAAATGATATGTGATATTAAATTAATGAGTCAAAAGGTAAGGATCCGACATCCATACCAGCAGCCAGTGAACCAACGACATAGTTCATTTTTTCAAAAGGAAGAGAAAGAATTGTAGGAAGAGAAAAGGAACAAAATGGAATTGCGGTGGATTAAAATAGAATAAAAATTTTAAGTTTAGTGATAATTTAAGACAAATAGTTAGATAATCAAAACAAAATAATATGAATAATTGATTGACTAAATATATAATTTACTCTTACTCTTTTTAACGGAATTAACGATTTGCTACAAACGAAGTAAGGATTTAGATTTAAGTGGACAAAACGATAAAAATTAAAATTAGAAAGCAACTCGATACAATCGTATAATTTAAGAAACAATGATGCATTTGAATCTTTACTATATAATGAACACATAATCATTAAACTCATACGATTTTTGTCATAACCGTTAAATTAATAATTATAATTGTATCCACAACAAAATAATTTAAAATGCTTAATAACTTAAGTCATGCCTATATATATATATATACACTTCATTTATCTCATTTTTTTCTTCTTAAAATTACTTACATGTACTTTTATATGTTTGGATGGTATATAATATTAAAATTTATCAGTAACATTTAATTGAATAATCATTTTATTTTATTTTTTCAAAGAATCTTAGTCTTAAACATTTTATTTTGAATCAAAATAACTCATGAATTGATATAAACCATCAATTGACTAACATCCAATGCTTGTTGCTAATATGATAAGTCTTATGTACCCAAAGTGTTGATGTTGTATTATTGTTTATACATAAGTAATGACATAACACATGTTATGTATTTAAAATGATGATACATCACATTCCCAATATTTAAACGGTTGTCATTGCATTATCACATTTTTATGGTGATGACATGGCACATATCATATATCTAAAGTGATGATGTGTCACATATCACTTGTTAAATCAATAATTTAGAACTATCAAGTGTCTAAAGCTGATTATGTAATAGTTCTATATTAATAAAAATATTTTATTTTTAATTATTAAAATAATAATATTTAACTTTTTATTAAATGAATTTCTTCATAAATATGATGACATGTTAATAGAAAGTAAGTAAATTTAAAAAAAGTACAGTGTTAAAATTAGCTTCAATATTTATTCAAATTGTTATTTTAGTGAATGATTTTTTTAGATTATTTTTTCTTTAATATTTTAATTTTTAGTCAAAATAGTCCTTATTGAACGAAAATTAATTGAGTAGTGATCAACACATATTGTTAATGTAATATTTTCATTAGTGTTTAATTATTGATATGACACATACCACATCAAAATCTTAGATGATTTGACACATTCAATGTCATCATCTTGAGTAACATATCACGTTTTAAACATGATATGTTACTAAAAAAAATAATAACAGCTTTAACTTACCACAGCGTAAAGAAGAAACCCAATGTTTAAACATGAGAAAAAGGAAAGAAAGATTGAAATAATAAAATTGTGTCTTTGCAAAATTCCCTTTTTTCTGCATTTCCTACGGTTTTCTCGGAAACCAAACAAAAAAAAATACTAACAGCTTTAACTTACCACAGCGTAAAGAAGAAACCCAATGTTTAAACATGAGAAAAAGGAAAGAAAGATTGAAATAATAAGATCAGTTTCAATGATTCATCAATGTGTTCCATATTTCTGGTGAGGTCGAAGCATTTACATACCCAATGTTTCATATTATTAAATATATTTTATATAAAATATATTTAATAAACTAAAACAAAAATAAAGGATTAAATTTATTGAATTTAATGACCAAATTGGCATCTTATGTAAGTAACAAAGACAAAATATATAATTACACAAAAAAGTTGATTGAGAGTCATTCTCTTGGTTAAGTGGTTTGATTGAACCATTTAAATAATTGGGTGGCATGTTTGATCAAATTGAAACATCGGTGGTCAACCCATGTAGTTTACCCTATTTTTTAACAAAAAATCAAAAGTATTAAAAAGAATAGAATTAAACTGATCACTTGGATAAATATGAACATTGTAATAATTAATGTTGATTTTTATTTACCATCCCGACAGTTTAAAAAGTAAATTAAAAAATGAAAGACAACATTATTAATTTGAGACAAAATGAAAATTATCCCAATTTCTATTAAAATAAAAGTGGTATAAATATTTACCAATTATTATGATAGAAACTGAAAAAGGAAAGAAAATATTTAAAAATATAAATGTTCCTTTTTTTTTGATTTAGTAGAAATATTCCATTCATTTGTATTTTTCCGCGCTATTCTCCAAATAAGGCTCCAACTATCGAAATCTTCCGATTTCTGTCCATCTATCTCTCTCTCTTTCGTTCCGACACAAAAATCAAAACAAACCATCGGAAAGAGAAAGAGGGAGATTTTCCCTTTTAATTTGCAATGAAAAGGAGCCAGGTAATTCTTTTCTCAATTTGTCATTTATCTTTTGATTTCTTCTGCAAATGTCTATTGATCCATTTCTTATCCTTGGTGTCGTTTAATTTTTGAGGTGTTTGCATAATCCTCTGTTTTATTTCTTGGCGTGGGTTGGTGGTAAGGTTAATCTCGTTACATGGGTGAGCTTATCGCTTCCTCTTCCTTCGGTCCATCGTAACCCTTTTCCTTATCAAGTTTGATATAAATATACTCCAGATACAAGATGTTTATCTTCATATCCACTATGAATGTTTGAATATATGTATCAGATCGAGTACTCATCATCATATATGATTAAGTCTTCGACATTTCTTTCCTCCATTTAGGCTACTCCATGAATAAGTGAAGTCAAAGTTACACAATGCGTAGATCCAAAACTGAAGGGAGAGTACCCTCCAAAAGCAGTTGCCAAGGTATTTTCATCTTTTTATTGCACAAGTTTAGTTCTATAACTCTCAAAGACACGTCGAGGCAAATCGAACTACCATATAACGGTTTCCGTTACTTTTTTAACGTCGATGGCAGCATTGTGTATACAGTACGAATCTGAGTTCCGTCCAAACATGAGCATCGTCGTTAAGGCTCTCCAACGTCTGGCAAAGGCACAAGCGCCGGCATCAGATACAGAAACCTGGTTCTTCACCATTGATCGAAATTCCCGCGACTTACGCGCGCACTGTTCGTTTTCATTCTGACTACGACAATTCCCATCGGATCGCAAAATATCTAACGTGTTATATATTTATTTCTTTCCGGGTTTTTCTTCCTATAAAACATTGATGTGTAGAACTGTTTAACGTCACTGATATGATCTCGCCGTTGCCGGTTTTCGAGCTCCGGGGCCTATGTCTTTTTGAGTTCTCAGTCGCCATTCAGTTAAGCAAGGGAATAGGTCTTGTGGTGCATACAAATGTTTACAATTTATTATTGTTAGCTTCATGCTATTATTATTACATGACAAGAAAAAAAAAGATGAATGAATGTATAAATATTTAAAGTTTATATAATATATGAATTATTATTAAGTATTAATTTATATATTCATGCAATGAATGAGTTAATTGTTTCATGATTTCATGTATATTTTGTATATTGACCTTTTTTTTTACTTTGGACAAGTAAATATTATCATATAATATTCATTAGAAAAATCAAATCTATTATAGCAAAAATGTTAGAATGGTGTAATGATTACAATTTTAAAAATAAAATATACCAGGTATTATTCCAAAATTATATGTTAAATTTAAAAATAATCTCCTATTAAATTAAAAAATAGTTATTACTTGATTACAAAACCTTTTTCTAAACACCAACATTCCAATTCAATCCAAATTTTACTATATAGTATTAGAAATAGGATAAATTACATTTCTGATGCTTTGTTTTTTCGTTCTATCTTATTTTAATCACCAATTTGAAAAAAAAAATATTTTGGTCATTTATGTTATATGTTCTTTATATTTTGCTCACTGGATGGTTAACTCTTGCTAGTTTTTTGGTAAATTTTAACTTGACTTTTAAATTTTAGATAAAATATTAATTTGATCCTGAACTTTAGAGGAAAAAACTAATTTAACACTTAAACTTTACATAAAATATCAGTTATCCATGAATCCAATCAAAGTTTCCATCGTTGGCAATCACTTATCATTGTCAACGGTCATTGTTAGTTGTTGTCATCGATCACAACCGAACATCGTCGCTGACGACCGCTGGACTCCAAAATTTCCAGTTCAATCCTTTTTTACCTCGTGAACGTGAATCCAATGTCCGTTTCATCGAAAAATATCCTAAAATTTTTTGAAAGCTCAAACGAAACTTTGAACGAGTCCAAGGCATTAATTTAATACATCATATGGATGTTCTAATGGTGTTCTGACGGTTATATAACATTATCAATCTTTTGCATCGTATTGTGTGATATGCAGTGGGAAGCCCTTGGTAGTGCTTGTGGTTCTCTTCTGCTTTTAAGATGGTATTTTCTTGGAATGAGACTGATGTACAGTGTTATTCCCAAGTATGTGTTCATGCCAGTCCATTGTTGTTTTCGGTAAAACTCTCGGGCAATGAATGGTTGTGCGAATTCATTAGCTGTTTGTTGCTGTTGATTTCTGTTAAATACTTTTAATTTAGTTAAATCTTCAATAAACCAAACCAGCTACATCCATATTTATTGCAGCCTGCATCCAATTTTACTTGCAACACAAGCTAAGCACATATACAAGGATCACGGTTCGAGTTCAGGACGACGTCAAAGGCGTCCCATTGGGAAAAGATGCAACTTACATGCAAGCCAAAATGCAGTAAACCATCTCCTTTTGCGTAGAAAGATGAAGCCTTCTGGACAACATACCAACTAGGAGGATTGGTTTCCTTGCTCGAGAAGGCTCTGTGTGTTGCAACCGCTGCCATAAGCCCTTTCTTTCCATATCTGTTCCACTTCAACGAACGTCAATCCCTTCGTCTCCGGCACATACACACTCACAAAAACAACTGCCACCAAAGCTATGCTAGCTAGGATCAAGAAAGTAACGCCAGTTCCTACAGCTTCAGCGACTGTAAGAAATGTCTGGGCCACAATCAAATTCGAAATCCAATTAACGGTAGCCGACATGCCCCCGCATATCCCTCGGTATTGCTCCGGGTATATCTCCGAGTTCACAGTCCATGGAACAGGCCCCATTCCAGGTGCGAAGAATGCAATGTAAAGAGCTAATCCAATGACTGCCAGCCATCCATAAATTCCATTAGAGGAACCAGGTGTTTCGGCGAAGAAAGCCCAGGCAAGGATGACAAGGGACACAATGACACCAGATAAGCTCGAAAGAGCCAGCTTCTTCCTTCCGAAATGATCGATAAGGTAAATGCCTACAACAGTTCCTGCTGCATTCATGGCAGCGATTATGAGTGACAGTAGAAGAGCGAGCTGATTGGAACTGAAGCCAGCCATCTGGACAATTGTCGGACTATAGTACATCACGGTATTGATGCCAGTGAACTGCTGAAAAGCCTGCATATAATCACAGTTTCTATGTCACAAAAAAAGTTATGCGAGTTGTAATCATGGTAATATTCTTAAATAACTCCGAGTAAATTTCATGTTGAAAGACATATATAAGGCCACGAGTCATGTTAAGTGCATCCGGAATTAGACAAAGTGACATCTCGAAAATGATGCAATTTTCCAGTTCCAAAGGGATGTTGATGTTAGAGTTACCTGAAGTCCTGCCCCGGCCAGAAAGGCGAGTCTAATTTCTTTTGTTCTAAAAACATCCAAGTATTTTACGGTTTGTTTTCTTTGAAGCTCTTCTTCTTCTGCAGCAGAAAGGTGATTCACTTCATCCTCTAATCGAGCAATGTCATAAATTTTAGAAAGCACGTCTATGGCTTTATCTTTCTCGTTCTGTACAATATGACAAGATGGTTCATTAAAGGAATATGCGAGATCCACAAAGAAATTTCCCCAAAAGTAAGAGATGTACCTTCATGAAAAGCCATCGCGGAGACTCAGGCAAACACAGCATAAGGAAGAACTGGATGACAGCAGGTATGCCTGAAACTCCAAGCATCCATCTCCAAGTTCCTGGAACCTGTTTGTGCAACAATATTTTAGACGGCTAGTAGAAGTACTCGTAAACATTTGGACTGCATAAAGACCTCAAAACTAAGTCCAAACCCGTCCTTCACCGATTCATATGCTTCTCTCGCCTCTAATAACATAAATATCTCAAAATCATGTATCCAGATTTAAACAGATGATTTCGACTAGCTATGCTAGCAGAATCGTATGCTTATTTCTCTTACAATGCTAACAGAAATGGATATGATTGCAACTAGTTATGCTAACAGAATCATACACTTATTTATCTTACATTACTTCAATTTGTTTTATAAAGCCACATGTTTAAACAGATATGATTTCTACTAGTTATGCTAACAGAACCAAACGCTCATCTCTCTTGAAATGCTTCAATTTGTTTTATAAAATCACAGGTCTCTATGGGCAGGAAACACAACAAGCTTAACCCCAATAGCCTTGAAATTTACTATAAGCCAATATAAAAGAATAACGGATTCGGAAGGAGGATAACATAGCTCCAGAACAAACTTTTAACTTCCTATTTTCAGTTCATCAGCACACATTTTACAGAACATGGAAAATATTTACTGTACATTGCATCACAGTTGAGAACCAGAGTGCCATGAAGAATTTTTAGTTTATTAGGTAAAATTCAACATGCTGAAAATATGGCTGCACATGCATAACCTAAACTAGCAGAAAAGAACGAGTGAGTTCCGTCACTGATGTTTACGTCCAAAATCAATTATACGCAAACCCCGTATAACATTCTATCTTCAGGTTAAATATATGAAGACCTTCATTTCCAACCTTGAATCCTATCATAATAAGACGAATGTCGCTATCTATATCATTTGAACCATCACATCGAGTGCAACATCTACATATGTCCATTTACTGGTTATTTGGCTATAACTTGTTAATTGAACCATTTATTAGCTTATTTCACCACGAACCTTGTGAATGTTGAACTTCTAAAGCAAACGTGTCCAAGGAAGGTAAATGGGGAATTATTTTCTGCTAGCACTGATAGAAAACCGTTTTTCTAAAAGAAAAATGGGGAAATCCTACTTTTTATAAAAAAATATGTTTTTTTTCATAAATGTAGAATACATTAACATTTTAACGGTATCATAAATGTTACACATAATGTTCATATATATAAATATCGGTTCAAGCAGATGAACCAAATGAAGTAGTAAAAGGAAGACAAACTGACCTCTGTAAAAGCAAGATTTACAAGGTAGGAAAGAAACTGTCCACCGGTTATCATGAGCACATTTGTGCTAACTAACCCTCCCCTTACTTCTGAGGGTGATGCTTCGGCAATATACACGGGAGCGGTCACAGATGCTATACCCACACCTAGGCCAACTAAAAATCGCCCCAATATCAGCACATACGGATCAGGTGCAGCGGCCATGACAATGGCTCCAGCTGTAAAGACAACATCCGCAAGAAGTGTAGCCTTCTTACGCCCATAAGCATCGTTAATCCAACCTCCAGATGCAGCTCCAATCATTGCACCTACCAAGGCCATGCTGACAATAGTTTCCTGCCAGACAAAAGCATCAGAATAATTCCAATAATGGAAAGATTCAAAATCAACAAATTATTCGCATGTTAATTAATAATAAGAGTTATATAAGATACCAAGTTTAAGGGCCAGTGGAACTATAAACCCTCCAAATCACCCAATTGTTCCCCTTCCGCACATTTTGCCTATTTTTACCAGGGATTATGATTGCCTATCCCAATAAACTAAAAGCTAGCAACTGCATCTACACACCAGCTCTCGAGTTTAGGGGCAATGGGATCCAAAAGCCCTCCCATTGCCCCAATTTCTCCCCTTCTGCACCTTTTGCAAACACAAGGTTTGCTTTTTTTTGCCAGGATTAGAATCGCCTATCCTGATCAACTAAAAGCTAGCGGCTGCATGTGCACATGAGATCCCCGTCAACTATAATCCCTCTAACCCCCCCCCAATTGCTCTCCTTCTGGACATTTTGCAAACACAAAATTCACCCATTTTTGTCGGGGATTAGGGTCGCCTACCCCATGAACTAAATGCTAACAGCTGCATTCACACACAAGCTATGTTAATCAGACTCGAGTGTAACTGTAACATGTGTATGTGCCAAAAAAGGGTACGTTACAAATTTTTTTCCCAAGAGTTCCATGTATTAGAAGGATCCTTGGAGGATAATATTCCCTAAAGAGTTTGATTAACACAACACACAAGATCCAACGATGTTGGCCATGGGCATCTGCTCACAGCTCTCATCATTTCTTCCTCTCCCATTCAATCAACTCAACACCAATAAAGAAAGAAGGTTTTCTTTGATTCCATTTTTTTCATGATTGAAGTAAGTTTAGCATTTCAAAACACCTGTAAACGCTGATAATACCTGCAGGAAACTACTCTGATTGACAACCTCAAAGTCATCTTTTATGTAAAGAAGGGCCCCTGATATTACACCTGCAATAATTATCATTTCCAAATGAGAATTTTTTCTTGGCAAAAAAAAAATTGTAAAAGAAAATTAATAATTGGAACAGAAGAAAAAATGAAGACAATTGTGTGTTCCTGTTTTGTCCAGTTGAATTTCTGATACTGCTTAAAAAAAATCCAGATAACATAATGCAGAAGCCCTGAGCAAAATTAACAGTTTAAGGGATTTTCAAGTTACAAAAACTCATTTGAATTGAGCAATTAAATGAAAATCAATTATGTAATCATGTTAAAAGTAGGTCTTTCTTCGAGTTTCAAATTTAAGACCAAAAATTTGTTTTATAACAAATCTCAGTTTCATCGACTGAAACATAAATACTCTCATCATCAGATGAACCAACCAGTCACAAAATTGAGTTTAATCATCTGAAACATTAAAATCTGTCATTAGATGAACCAGACATTTAAAAAAAAGCTTGGTTTCAATTTTCAACTGCCAAACAGTAAATTTCGTGAAGAACAACAAAAAATGGTTGAAAGAAGAATACAAATGGATCTGATACCTGTGTCATAGCCAAAGAGCAAGCCACCAATTCCAGCAATCACAGTAAGTCCAAGAACATAAGGATTACTGAAATATGACATTCTTCTCTCTGGAAACAAATCCAGATACCCCGAACTCCCCGGTAAAGTCTCTAGCGTCATATCTCCAACAGGAAAACAACAATCAAATTCCCAGAAATTTAATTCACGGCTATGAACACTTTGACAATTAGATTTTCAGCTAATTCTCAACAATGAAACAATTCAAGAATTTAATTTTCTGACTCTTCAATGTTGATGATGTTAAAAGAAAAGTCGAGAAGATTTTAATTTTAATTGTTGTGTTCACGCACAATGGCTCTTTTATATGGATGTCTAAGGTACGATAATATATGATTAAAGAGGTTATTATAAATGTTAATATTTTTTAATATTTTTAATAAAATATTATTTTTTAATAAAAAATATTAATATTAAGTGTTACTTAAAATATTTAACGTTTTCTGTAAAATATTATTTAAAATATTATTTTCATTAAAAATATTAATATTGAATGTTATCTAAAATTTTATTTTTTTATCAAAAATTAAGTAGTAAAATTAATATTTTTGATAAAAAAATAATGTTTTAGCAAAATTAATTGGTGTTGGACTCACCATACATTTCTAAGCTCTCCGCACCACTTGCTTTTCTTATTTATTTTATTTTAAAAAAAATATTCTTGTCGTTATCAATGAATAAAATGGGATAACTGAACAAACAAAATGATAGGATAAGATGATGGGCCTAGGCATTGACTAACTAAAATTGGTTTTAATGGTTAATCTCCAGTCTTTGCTTTTAAAGATTTAAAATTTGAATTCTTCTAAATAGAATATTTTAATAATTGTTCTCAAGTGAAACTGCATCGTTTTAGTCCTTTTGAGCATTAAAATAGACGCACCAACTAATTACTTGTATGTTGGGAAACCAAAGCTTCAATGCAGGGCTAGGCATGCGCGATAGAACTGGCCTTCGAAATAGCAAGAGTCCTAAAAAGTTCACAATTAGATTATTGATATTATCGTAAATTATTAAACTATCAAAAAGGAATCCAAAAAGTTTTGTTCGAATGAATATATGAGAAGTACTAATAATTAATAATATGTTACAGTTATAAAGGTTATTTCAATTTTTTTTATCTAACTCATTTTACAAAAAAATATCTTTTTTTTAATAATTTGTACAGGACCTCCAACGTCCTAGTCCTAGCCCTCACCCTACTTCAATTTAAACAATCTTTCATTTTTTAATGTGATTTAATTCTGTCCAATAATAAACATCTCAATCATCTTTAACTTATGAGAAATGATCACATGCAACAATTTTAATATAGGGTTAAAAAATATATTAAATAATAATAAAATTGGTAAAAAATTATCGGAAATATTATTATTTCTACTGGTTTTGTTATTTTTTCTACTGATTTTGTTATTGTTGGATACTTTACTAAAAATATTAAAAAATAAAATAATAATATTTTATATAATTATTTATCGATTTTATTAGTTAAATAATAACAAAATTAATAATATATTTTTAATTGTATATTAAAGATGCGTAGAACTTCCCTTTAACTTATTGATAAGCAAATTATATTAGAAGTAAAACATATTTCCACGTGGATAGAAAACAATCGTCCCATGAAATAGATGGAAAAAGAAATAGACAGCTCAGCTCACGTATTATTCCAGATCCATCCATGTCTGCCTGTCATATCTTACATACGTGGCTACTAGGAGGTCTGGTGATATTTGGCATAATTGTAAATAATGCAATTTTGTCCTTATCAGACATCACCAAATTCTCGCTCCTTCCCGCCTTGTCTAGAATCAAACCTAATCTACTACATGTAACATGCTATGCTTGTAATAGATATTCCTTTACTTTTCTAATAATATATAATGTACTTTCTTCATGAAGATCTAGATGGCAAACTCATCGGAAAGGTTTCCGCATTAATTAGGTCACCGTGAGCAAAATGTATGGGCATTTAAGTACGAATCAAGTGATTGTGATGGTAAATAAATATTATTATTTTTTAAAGTCTTGAGTTTAAACACGTGAAAGTAAGTGGTATGAGCGTTTAATGTCAAATAATTAAAATTTATCTTTGAATAAATATTACATTATATTTACCCAGATAAATTAAAAAAAATATAGTCTACATTTATTATATTAACTATCTACATTAAGATATCATGTATCCATAATTTATAGTATTTTTAAGGATAAGGTTTAACCCTTTAATTTTTTATAAAGATTTATATTTTAAATCTTAAATACACAGTCACAATTAGAAATTAGAATTAGTATAAAATTTGATATTTGATCGAGACGTTCTGACCCAAATATCGAACGACACATTGATTATCGAAGTGACCTATAGAAATTCACTTTTAAAGATTGCTTTTGAGAATGAATAAAAATTAAAAAAAAAAGCATTTAATCATAAAACGGAAGACCATTTACCATTATTCACCGAGTACAAACTTAGAACATGCAAAAGTTATTTTTTGGCTTATACGTAAAGATGCCAAAGTTGAAACATTAACCCATCATACATCAATTCAACATGCATACAAGCATCGTGTGAAATTTTAGATCAAACAGACTTCAAATAAGACTCTGATTGCATCTATAAGCCATTCTAAGGATTAACTAGTAAATTATTAACTAATTTAAGTACTGACATGCATTTCCTAAATTTTCAGTTTGTACATTCAATTAAAGTTACAACAAACTTACCGTAGAAATTTTTTGTTCGATTTGGGTTATAATTCATCCTCAATTTCAAAACCAAAATCTAGGGACCATTTTGTAAAATATAATTCATTTGAGAGCCAAACATTAAAAACAAACTTTAGGGGACATAAAAAGGCAATTTAGAAAGAGTTTACACAAATCCAAACTTGAGGGATGGACTGAGAGGCGGGTGCATACAATTGTTATCCCTGAAAATTTAAAATTATTATATATTTTCTATTGAAAATTCTTTTTCGTCTCTTGAAATTTTAAAAATTCATTTTTGCTCCCCTAATATAAAATTCTGCGTTCGTCCATGCTTACGACGCACGCCAAAAGTATCGGTTTAAATTCATAACAGAAGTTATACGATAAGAACACCATTCCTTAATTTCTTTTTGCAGAAATGTAGTTATCATTTCATGAGTTTGCCATTTGCAGATAGTTGAATGCAGACGAGTTCTGCAATATAATTAAACGTATAATTTTCATCTTACCGTATCATATCTAAGCTAACTCTTAAATTTGCAACATCATCGTTACAAGTATCAATTAAGCTAAACCAAAGCAGCATAAATAATTGAGTTAAAGGGCATAAATAATTGGTTTATTGTAAGTGAAAATTGTCAATCTTCTATAGTTATGGTAGACACATATCAGTTAGATACACTGGAAACTTCCCACCGTTTCTCTGTTTGGCTGGGAAGAAAATGTTTTGAAGCTCCCAAATTTCAGATTTTCCCAAAACCTGAAATCTTCTTATCATTTTAGTTGCCCAGATTTTTCTAATATTTTGATGCTCACTGCATTTAGCAATGCTCTTGAATACTGTCGAGAAGCCATTTTCCAGTCCATGCCTGTAAACATCATTGCCTTGAACTCTTGATAACTAATTCGATCATCCTACAAAAGAAAATCAAATTCAAGTTATTTGTGTTCATAATTTCCACATTGAACATCCTGGAGAACGGAAGATCGGAAACCTTATCTTTGTCCACATCGAGCATGATGTCTTTGATCAATTGTTCATTGTTGGGACTGTTATCGTCTTGTAGTAGAGCTTCTTTAAGTTCATCGAATTCGATGTAACCGGTTTGGTTCTTGTCGAAGTAACGGAACCCTTGACAGAGTTGGTCGTCGCCGATCCTTCTCAAGTGAACCGCCATCGTGACGAACTCGTCATAGGTTAGTGTCCCACTTCCATCAACGTCAGCCTTTCGGAGAAGAAAGATTAGAAATAGGAAACTTGGAACCCAAGGCATCCAATTAGAAGCACAACCCTATACAAGAAAAAAATCTTGAAATGAATTACTATAACTTACAGACTCCATTAACATCTTGACGTCAGGATCTTCAACAGAATGCCCAAGTTTCTCCAGCTCATCTCGCAGCTACTCGAACGACAAATGCCCGTCATCGTTGGTATCCATCATATTGAACATCTCGATAATCGAATCGACTTGATCCTCTGGTAAGTTGTCTGCTACAACCTGTAATAAAATAGACATCAAACAAGCCTCTCAGATCACAAAAGGCGATTAAATGAATTTGAAAATTTTAGAAAGCCATCGTCTGATTTAAGTATATTTATTTTATTTGACAATGAAAGCTGATCTACAGAAATTAACTATACACTAAAAAAAACTTACCAGATTCATAGAAAATGGAGAGGCCAAAATCAATGGATTTAATTGGGGCAGTTTCACTTTCATCTGCGAATAAGAAATTCTCAGGATTTAAATACCTGTGTATCACTCCATACTCATGAAACACCTGCAATATTAAGAAAAAATCTATGAAATTTTCATATAGAAAAAAAGTTTATTAAAAGATTAAATATTCGAAAAAATAATACTAGTTTACCTTGACAATTTCCAAAATAGTTTTAGTGACGGATGATGCAGCTCGTTTCGAATAATGACCTTTGGCGACGATTCGATCGAATAGCTCACCTCCATGGCACAGCTCCATGACGAGATAAACAGCTTCCTTATCCTCGAAGGCTTCCCTAAAGGCGACAATATTCGGATGCTTCGGCAAATGCTTCATGATCTCGACCTCCCTTCTCAGTTCTTCGAGATCGACTTCGGTCCTCATCTTCGCCTTCGATATATTCTTGCACGCGAAAGCTTCTCCGGTTTCGAGATCGAAACATTGATGCGTGATCCCGAACTCGCCTCTCCCCAACTCTTTTCCGATTGTGTATCGATCGAAGATATTATCTCCGGACGGATTCTTCAAAACCCTACTATTGCTCCCCCGTCGGCTCACGGATTCTTCAAAATCGAACCCTGTAGTTTCGATTGAGCAGATATGCAACTTCCCACGAGATGACGACAATCGAGTTAGCCTGGGGATTCATATCATAAACATCCCATGTGAAGGAATTGTGTTTGGCTAGGAAGAAAATAAAAACCCTAGCAAAGAAAAAAGAACGAGAATATTTGATTTATTAGAAAATTGAAGGACTTTGGTTAGATTTGTCCCTCCATTTCTTAGGACAGTTTAAATTCCTTCACAGTAAAGCCATTG